CTTCGTAGCTCATGCAACCAATTCAAGGCTTAATTAATTCAGGTTTACACCAAAATCCCAGGTTAAACCCTTATCCTAGTTTCAAGCAATAGGGCTCTGCTCACATTGACAATTCAATTTGTCTCTAAACCATAAAACCGTAGTCTCAGTGACTTGATTATGGATGTGCTGAATGTAAAAACTCAACAGGGAAAATAAAAGTGCACTTTCCTCATATTTAGTGAAACTTTCTCACATTTAATGCAAAAAAGATAATATTAATGTTAGATCTACTATATATCAAAATATTCTATCTATCCATCATGTTATAAGTATATCTATATCTTGAATTTTTATTCTAATTCTTAACTTACCCCACATTCCTATGCGTTGGGGTTGTGGCCATGAATTGATGTGGTGTGGTTAATTAGCATATTTTCTGAAGATTTAAATCGGAGATTTAGGATTTAGATATATTTAGATTTAAGATTCATGAAAAATATTTATTTAAATTTAGAATTAAGATTAGGCATAGGATTTAAGACGTATGTTTGGATTAAAGATTTAAAGAATATATTTAGATTTAAAATATAAGATATACATTAGATTTAGGATATAAGATATTGATTTAAATTTAAGATTCAGATAATATATATTTGATTTCAAGTTAAGGTTTAGGAATAAATTTAGGATTTAGATATAGATATAAGAGGCAGAAACAGAATATATAAATATGGATATAATATTCAGATATACGAGTTAACATTAATATTTAGAATCTCCCACTAAGTGTGAAAAAAAAAGTGCACTAAATGTTTACCCTGTCGAATTTTATTTTCATTTGGCACATACTTTTTTTTTCCTTGTGCAACAAACCAAATATTTAAGTTTATTTGGCATTTTAACAAGAACATTTTTTAATATGTATTTCAACAATGCTACTTCTTTCAGAAATAATAATTTAGAAACTGAATGCAGTGTGAATGAAGCTGCAACTAAACTGTTAGAATAAACAATCAGAGAAAAAGCTAAAACCAGCAAAACTGAATAAAAACTGAAGCTACAAATGGAAAAAAAACTGTTACTAAAAACTAAAAGTAGCTAACAGCTAAAATAAGCAAAACAGTAAAAAGAAGCCAAAATTAGCAAAATAATGACAAGCTAAAAACTTAGCAGAACAGTAACTAAAAACTATAATTATCAAAGCAGTAACACCTTAATGCAACACTCTGACTCACAATCTATTTTTTGTTTTTTTTTCCAAGCAGTGTAACACCAGAAAGAACTGTGATTTTTAGATATATAGTTCTCAWCAGATTTTTCTGTCTGTGGTACCATCATGAAGAGAATCTGAATGGATTAACCTAATTACTCATAGATAACTGAAACTCTTAGCTCATAACTTGCCTCTGTTACCATGGTGATCTATCCTTTCAGATCCTCTTATTGCTGTGAAAACTGACTGAGAATCTGACTTCACAGTAAACCCCTCGGATGTGTGGCCTGAAACTGCTGCTTAGATTTTTTTGTAATAAATTGTTTTGAGTTTTTTTTTCTGAATAAACTTGATTTGTTGTTTGGATTTCAGGAGCTACAGGTAAAAAAATAAATAAATAAATAAAACCTACCTGAGGATGTGAGTGAGGGAGTCAAACAGACAGTTCAGTACAGACATCAGCATCAGCTAAAAAATGAAAAAATGAGACAAAAATAAGAACCTTTGAAATCAATAATATCCAGTTTTGGGGGAAAAATTGGGGTTAACATATAGCCACAGTTTAATTACAACTTTAATCTTAGCATTATTTAACTAACTTGATAAAGAAATACTTCTTCACTAAATATAGTTCCCGACACTTGTGATGTTTGGGTGAAAGCTAATGAAAATAGATATGAGTGAACGTTTAATAATCCGGTGAGGGTTCAGATAAAAGCATTCTGTTTTCCCATCTCATTTTTTTAAAAGGAAAAAAAAAMTTGATTCACTCTACCTCATTTTCCTGAGCACTTCCCACCACATAGAAGAAAAGATCTATACTGCTCTTATACACAATGGTCATTCCTTCCAGGAAAGCGATCTCATCTGCAGAAAATAGAAGAGCAATGAGAYTGAATCATCCTGGCATTATTGGTATCATTTCTTTTCTCTACACAGAGCCTGTCCTTCACCTAGTTGGACAGAACAATCAAAAAATATAAACAGGGAGGAAGACAGGTTGGGTGAAAGAAGAGAAATATGGAATGAGGACAAAAAGAAAGGGAAATGGAAGAGAAGGACAGAAACCGGCAGAGCAAAGAAATGTATGAATGGGTGGACTATAAGAAGGGAAAGGAGGGGACAGTTTAGTATAAAAAGAGGGAAAAAAAGAACCATAGAAAAGGAGGTATGGAGGAGGAGTTTAGAACAAAAAAGGAAAAAAAGGATACTGGGTGGTGATGAGAAACCAGAGTATAGATCATGTATCACCTGTGTGAATCTTACATAAAAACACAAGAGTGTGTTGATCAGGTTTCTCTGAACATGAACAGAAATGTGCTGAAAAAAGTCTAAAAAAGGTCTGTGGAAAGGTTGGGTTTCACAATCAAACAAGTCCAAAGTAAGAACTGATTTAGTTTTCTGACAATAAAACCAAGAGTTCTCCCTACAAGAAGAGAAATATATACAGTATAAAGAGATAAAGTAACTTACTGTCTGCTTTGTGGGTTTTGCTGAAAACATTGTTCTCAAAGTTTTTCTGTTCCTTCATGGATGGGTATAATTCAGGGTCATAGTACTAAAAAGACAAGATAAAAGTGAATTAAGAAATGAACAGTGTCCTCGTGAACAATGTTCTCTGGTCCCACTGAGATAAGAGAGATAAAATAACATCATCCTATGTATTAGAAAGAATTGCAATAGACCTTTAGTGTGGTGATTGAAGTAGTATCTGACTGTGTTGTGATTTTTGGCAACTGAATTAAACAGAAAAAGCAAGAAAATGTGTGTTTGGTTGAATATGTGTTTGTGGTAACAGTGCTTCCTGGTAAATAAAAAAAAACCTTGGATTGGAAAGTTAGGAAAATATTTGTGTATTTGGGCAGTAGAGTTGATATGGGTTGTGAAATTAAACACTTGCAAAGTCTCTGGAAATGCCACACAGCTGTTGACTCTTGAGGTTCTGGTTGTCCAAAACTTCCTGGTATGTATGCTAATTTAAGACCGCTACACTGAGTTCAAGCTGATTACATTTGTCTCCTAAAACAGATAAAAAATGTTAGTACCTCTCTACAGGAGGAGTTTGCAAGTTCYGCCTTGACTCACTCAATTAGGCAACAGTCCACTGACATCAAAATCACAAAATACTTGGTTTTTTAACTAACTAACTTAAGGCTTTGAACGGGTAAAAAAAAACACAGCTACAAAACTAAACAAAGATGTTGTGCAAAAGTGTTGTTATCCAATGTCTTTTTCTTTCTCAAAGACAAGCTGGTGTGAAAGAGTTGTTTAAAAGCCTGAAAAACAATTTAAAAAATTGCATTCTGACTATTAGCCTAGCCTGGAAAACAACTTTTCTTTTGCCTCTTTTTCCATGATTTATCCTCTATGATTGATGTCATAACTGGAAGCTACTGACAACTATTTGTCAGTACATCGCTTTCAARTTGACTAAATTATTCCTTTTAAGCTAATGACAAGCTTCTCTTGTTTTGTAGCTAAAGTGCTTTAAAGATATTTAAAAACTTACCTTTGACAARAGTCTGTTTCCATCATTATCAAGTATAAAAACAGCTTTAACTGTGTACAGGGAAGGTTCCTGCAACAACACAAAGAAAGACATTAAATAACCTYGGTTGAGTTACCATACCACAGGTCCCATTACTCTTGTCCTTTTCATTCTTTGGTTTAAAGTTTACAAAGTAAATCCTCTTCAGCTTATATTTTAAAGACTTTCACAACAGAACATTTATTTTCAGGATGTAGGTTCAGTTGTGTTTCCAAAAGGCTACCAGGCTCCTCTGTTGTGGAACCAGCTCCTGGCTTTAATGTCCAAGGAGAGCACCTCAACATACCTGTCAGACCGTGGGCCATATGCCCCAAGTTTATTCCATTTGACCCATTAAGTAAGGGATAGGTTTAATCTTTTGAACTGGGGTTCTGTAAAAATGTAATGCACAGTACCTCCCCTGTTGTAGATAGCTTGTGAATGGCCTAGGGTTAGGTTTAGGTTTAGGGGTTATATATAGGTTCATTCCGATTTCTAAAAACTTCTGAGTTTAAAGAAATAAAGTCAAATTCAGGCCAGACTGATGAGCTAATGGCTAGTTAAAGAGGCACCAAGACAAACAAATATGGCTGCCATCCTAACACAGCTCTAATTTTGAAAACTTCAGTGGTTTATGCAAACACTAAAACTTTTACAATGTTGTCAGATTTGCAGTACAATTATTTTCCATTACAGCCAACAATATTCCTGAAATGTCAGAGGCTGCTCTGAAAGTGTTACAGCTAGAAACATTTAGCTGCTGCTGCCACCTCTGTTTGTGCTTGATAATTACCACAGAATTCTATGTAAATTAGTGCGGTACACCAAACTGGGACATAGCTCCACTCCTTGGTGAAGYGTCCAACCCTTACACTCTTAGTTTGACTAAAGGTCGTATCTGACTGGACTGGGGACTGAGCGGCAAACAATATTTACATCTCCAGMACTTTGGGTGTTTTGAACCATTCTCAGTTTTGTCATTTCTCTCAACTTCTCTTAAAAGGGTAAACATTGTATTTTGACATCRTTTTCTACAAGTAGAAAAAAAACTTTTGTGAGAATAAACAAATATATTACTCCGACACATGCAGCTGATTCTGTCCCAGTGAAGAGTTTTCAGACCCGGGACAAAGTTCTGTTATGCACTGACTAGCAGGGATTCACAGTCAGAGTGTATCACAGAACTTGGACCAGAAACTTAGAACATTGTCAGTCTGGTAGACAAAGTATTAAAAACCAAGTGACGTCCACAAAGAGGGATTATAAGAGCATTGAAGCGGAAATCAAAAGAAGTGAAAAATGAGAGGAACCTCGAAAGCACACAACCAAAAGAGCAAAAAAACATGTCTAGAGCAGAACTTGGATCATTTCTGTTAGCATCTGTTTAAAGTTTACTAAAATCTTCTGAACACAAATAAATTAGTGACACAGACATGAGATAGGCTGACTGTAATGTAGTTCCAGAATCACCAGAGTGTCACTGTGTACACAAGTGGAAATCRCAAAGTAAAGCCTCATGTGGAAGAAAACAGCCGAGCCTGGTTGCTAAAAATATGCAAACTCCAGAAGTGTCTGTTTATGCTAAGGTGAAAAGTTGCAGAGCATCAGGCAAGACAGAAGAATACAATGATCTGCTCATCTGGAATATAATTTATTTGAGGTTTTGTCACACTAGTCAACTTATGCCAACTTATGTTTTTATGTCTAAATTGCTAATAAAACKTATATATTTGATCAATTTGTTCAAATWACATTATATACACATCAAAAAGAAGCTTCCTGTTGATTTTTTTCAATTCCACCTTCAATGAAGATGTCTTTAAAATGTTCATAAGTTGGCAGAATTTATCTAGTGTGACACCTATGAATCAGTTTTACACTAAAAATTAATTCAAACCAAAATGACATTTGTTCACCTGGAGCTCTGAGTCCATTCTCGACACAAGGTCTGAGCAGAACTTCTTTCTTTCAGGGRTTTGTGTCAGCCATCGTGTGACTGGACAGAAATGTGAAGTGGGGGTGGTTAATGTTGCCATGCATTAACTGCATCAGCTCCTCAGGAACCAGCGTCACCAGTGTTGCCAACTTAGCTCTTCACTACACCTAGCTCACTAGATTTAGCCGTTTAGTTTCTCCAATATGGAAGTCTGTCAGACACCACATCGCTCAATTTGGGTGTTTTGTCCTGAGAATGATCCAGCCTCTGTCTGAAGGCTCTGTTAGATTTGAAATGTATCCAACAGGACTGCAAAAAGAAAAAAAGAAACCTTTTTTTATTAATGGGAATCTAGGTGGTCGATAGGATTGGGCAAAATCAAATTGTGTGCAAYTGATCATCAGAAAAACTGTCACCAATTAATATTTGCCACTTAGCAATTATTGCAATTAGTGCCATGTGWTGACACATTCTTGTGACACAATATCACAATCAGATGTGAGCCCAGTGATGGAAGGCAGCGCAGAGCAACTTACGCTAACCCTATCTATCAACTTGTTTAATCACCTGAAACACAGGCATAAACCAAAMTACGAGGAAAGACAGAAAAGGCCACATGGTCGGCTACATCGAAATGTAATCATCATCCAATAATCTTAATGTTTATCACTATTGGCTAAATCACGATTAATTGTAATAAATTATAATTAATTGCATTTTTTTGCCAGTATTGTCCAACCCTGGCTGTGGTGCAGCCTACCGAATGCACCACCCAATGAGAAGGTTGCCAGATCGAATCCTGGCCCTTTCTGGGTAGAGCTGTCCTCTTACACGCACACAAGTTTTCTCCAGGTACTTTGGTTTCTACACAACAAAAACATGCATGTTACTCTAAATTGTCCCTGTGTGAGACTGTGAATGTTTTTTAGTCTCGTTTGTCTCTATGTTCAGAGTGTCGTCCCCCCCCAATGCCCCTTGCCCAGTGACTGCTGGATGCGGGCACCATGAACTGGAAAGTGAGGAGTAGTGGTGTGAGAAAATATTGATACATTGAAATATCGCTATATTTCATTTCCCGATACTGTATCGATATTCTAAAGCCCTGTATCGATTTTGTATTAAGGTTTAAAATGTCAACTTTCCTGCCAGCCGTTCATTTCATGTTGTAGTTCAGCCTCTGACCACTAGTTGGCAGCAGTGAGCCAGCCATTTGTTAAGTGTTGGGTGACCATATTKTAAATTAATATTAAAAACTAAAAGCTGCAAAAAATATATTTTCWAACTATTTATTGTCAAATTTAGTCTATTAATTGAAAACATGGATGAAATATCAAACAAATAAAATAAAACACATACAAAGCAGAACACAGCTAAATGTATCAAAAGTATGTCTATGTAATATTAGAATTTTCTGACAATGAATTTTGGTTTTTCTTTTTTTTCCCCAGTAAGAGGTTTTTATTTAATAGAATTTTTGGACAAAAGAAATCGCAATATATCACAATATATTGCCTTGCTTACAGTATCACAATTTATCGGGATATATCGTATCGTAACCCCTCTGTCATGATATGTATCGTATYGCCAAATTCTTGCCAATACACAGCCCTAGTGAGGAGGTGGTACTAATCCCATATAGCTAAAGGAAAAAAATGCAGACCAAACTAAAGCTTGGGACTCAGGAAAATAAAACCGTCTGGTCAAGGGGGCCAGATGGGATCTACTAGGGGTCGGCTATCGTCCCCCGTTGCCCTCCCTTGTAGGCACCACTGAATAAATAACCTTTGTTGTATTTTGACTGTTACTAAAGTTTCTTAAAAAAATAAGCCCAGTACTATTTTTACCGCACATTATAGCTTTTTATTTTACAAAATCATTGGTGACTTATTAAACAATAATTTAATAAAATATCCAAAGTGACAACGTGTCAAAGCCGCAGCATTAGGCRACTCTAAAAGAGTTTTCCCTGTGGTTAAATCAGAATACTGTGGTGCTGATCACAGTTTGGATCCGATGGAAGTCAACAGCTGACAGACAGAGCAGTGAGGGCGGCTGAAGCAGAACGGTGGACGTGGCACCAACCCTGCTTTCCACGTCACTACACGTCTGTCTGCTCAACACACGCAGGTACCGAAACTCCCAGACCTGCTGCTAGAACTGCACCGAAAACACACAGGATCCGTGCAGGACAGCCGGATTTCTGCTGATCCGAGAGGCGGACTGCGCAGACAGCTGTGGACCAACTGGTCCCAACCAGACCAGACGACACGCAGGTTTTACACCAACAGGTTGATACATTAAAAAAAAAAAACTATTTAAATCAGGCAAAGACCGCATTACAAGCACTGATCCGATCCGGCCTGCGCGACCACAGAAAAAACACGCACACACACGCACAGGGACACACTATGATCCGCTTTAGAGTAGAAATAAGACTTGTTAATGCTGCCGTACCCCCTCCACTCCACCCCCCCGCTCGGCCCGGTCATGTCCACCACCGATCATCCCACAACACAACAAACCACCTGAACGATTCTGGGACAATCATCTCCACCGTGCATCAAGCGACGGCCCCGCCTCCCGCAGGTAAAGGTGCCGGATCCTGAGTCCGACTGAACCGAGAGGAATCTTACCAGGTTCGGGGAGTCCATCTCTGCTGACKGAGCCGAGCTCACTTGTGTTGACGTGGACTGCTCTGAGCTGTCACACCGGGCTCGCTCCCGCTGCAGGACGCGCGCAGACACGCCTCTTCCGAGTTCCGACTTCCACCGGGCCTTTCACAATAAAAGCCGCTGGGCATTTGGATTCAGACTTAATTCATGACCCGACRTACCATTGCTCATTAACCAAGAACTTCTTGAAGGACTTACCCATTTCATGACAACCATTTTATAAAGACTGTTTAATAAGCACGGCAACATTTTTTTTCAAATGACAAAAAATTAAATTTCTAATCAAGTGAGGCTATTTTTGCAAAGTTCTACATAGATAAATGTATATTTTCGTGTAAAACCCATATTTATTGTATTTTATAAGTATTTTGAAACTTACATTAGTAACACTGAACCCATACGAATAGAAAGGCTGTTAACCAATTTCAGCATGGTCACATATAATTTATGGTTTATTGTGTTTTGTTAAGACCTATTGGTTTTTCTAGGATGTTTTCCCCATTTCTTTCATTTTCTTTTTCTTGTTATTGCACCAAATGTATGGAAAATACAGTTATATATACGTTTTGTATTGTACATTATATATAAATAAATAAATAAATAAATAAATAAATAAATAAATAAATAAATAAATAAATAAATAAATAAATAAATAAATAAATAAATAAAGGCCTGACACCTAAATGCAAAGATGGGAGATCATGTTTTTGCCCTCTCACAAACCATGAACAAAACTGAATAAAGAAATCTACTTAGATTCATGTCAACAATTGATTAACTTTTGGAGTCAACGCAATTTAAAAAGGCTGCTCCACATAGCCCTCCAAATCCTCAGTGAAAATTACACACAGGCTCAAAAAGAAAAAAAATACATAGGTCCTCTGGATGGGTTCTTCTTTAGTGAAATGTTTCATCTCTCCTCCAAGAGACTTCTTCAGTCTGATGAGTTTCAGGTGAACTCAGCCTTATAAGCACTGCCTCCACATGGACAGCGGTCACTCTTTCAGGGATGAAGATGTTCTCATGCTTGTTAGAGAGGAACGCTGGTTTGAGAGAGGAGTAAAGGAAGCCATCTTTGTAAAGAAAAACCRTCCACCATTAAACAGAGGTGGAGGCCTTCGTGTCCAGTTGTCCTCCTCCTACAACACTGTCATTGCAAGTATAACTCAGCCCCCTGTGAGCAAAAAGGTTTGAATCAGGGCCCCAATGATACCAACACAAAGAGGGAGAGAGAGACAAAAACAAGGGGACGTCGAGCCCCGCTTGCATTCACTACATACACATAACACGACAGGGGTCAGACAATGGGGCACATGACCCTCTATGAACAATAGAGCTAATTAAGCCTATTGTTAGGCGATGACCCTCTATGAACAATAGAGCTAATTAAGCCTATTGTTAGTCGATGGCCCTCTTTTGCAGGTGACTAACCTGTTTGTCCATGTGGAGGCAGTGCTTATAAGGCTGAATTCACCTGAAAGTCATCAGACTGAAGAAGTCTCTTGGAGGAGAGATGAAACGTTTCACTAAAGAAGAACCCATCCAGAGGACCTACTTATTTTTTCTTTTTTTTCTACCTGGATTACAGAGATGCATCAGGACATTACAGATAGACTATTAACATTTAATTTAATGTGCTGGAGTGATGACTGCCGGCTCGCGGGATTGAACAAGAAACAGATTTATTAGGGTATTGGGGTTTGACACACATCTTTGTTAGTTAACAAATAGTTAACCTCTAAGAAGATCGCTAAAATAAGTTATTTAAATATGTGATGTGCTACACCTCTTTTGGTTTTGTATTTCATTTCCAAAACTTGTGTCTGAGTGGGACGTGGCCGGCTTCATCTGTGTTTTATGACTAACCACAGAGACAGGGAGCTTAAGGACTGCAGCCAATTTTCTGAACTGTTTTATGGAAGAGCTAGAATTGCACTGAGGAACAAACACATTTTTTAATTTAAAACTTTGAGATGCAAAGTTGTATTCATGAGATATTATCTTATAAGCAGGAGTTACAAACTTAATTACACAACAGGACCAAAATTAAAAATTGGTCAAAGTCAAGAGACAGAATATTCAATATTTACTGAAAACATATCTTGGTTTTAAATGTATTTTCACAAATTATGCTTATAGAAACAGAAATTMCACCCCCCCCCCCATAATTTATTGTATAGCATTTATTTCTTGTGCCTTACTTTCAGCAATAACTTTTGCATTAAATATCTCTTAGTGATACATTTTAAAAAAGAAAACCTTCACTAAAAATTCAATACTTTGATTTTGAAATAAGAGAATACAGTAAATTACTTAATTTTTTGCTTCCAGTTCATAAACGGGAGTTTAATCGGTCTCATTTGACAGGTTTAGCTAAATAATAATAATAAAAAACAAACTGAAAAAAATTCTTACGTATTTGTCATAGCTACTTTTAATATTGTCCGTGTTAAAAAAAACTGCACAAAAGACAATAAGATTAATTTGTGTCAAACGAAAACAGAAGCAATAAAACTGCATCCATCACATAACCTTTGGGGTCAGATAAAATGTAGAGGACAGAGTTGGACCGCATCACGTGTGTAAAATATAAACAACTCGCGCGCTCGGCCACGCGCCTCTCCTCTCTGCGCCGCGTTGGTTTCTGGGAAATCCTGTTTTCCTGATGTGGGAAAGATGGCGAGCGTTCAGCCGCCTCCTCTTCGAAGTTTGGATGATTTCGTCCTGAGCTCGGCCCGGTTCGCAGTGCCAGATGTTCGGAACTTGGACCGCTGGAACAACCGGATGATAAACAACCTTCTGTACTACCAGAGCAACTACTTCCTGTCCGCGGCGGGCTTCCTGCTCATCGTGGGGTGAGTGGGTGATCATCCTGACGTGTCGCCCGTCCACATCATCACATCACACACTGCTCTGTTATCATCATCGCTGTTTTAATGTAGATGTTACAGGTTTACACTCAGTCTGAATCACCTGGTTTAATAGTGTCTGTTAGCAAAATATTTCCGTTGGACACATTTGTCCCTCCTCCAGTCAGACTGAGGTCTGAGCTTTGACTGGACCTTTTGGTTACATTATTTGTTTTTGCAACCATTTTCCAGAATGTGATTTGCCTTTGTTAATAGTTTTATAATTTAGATCATTTTCATACAAAGTGTGCATCTTTTCTCTCAGCAGGGTTAGGGTTAGTAACGCATCCCTTCAGCTGCTTTCTCTTCTTAGGATGCACCCATCATGAACAGGCTCCAGAGTCCAGTCTTTATGCACAGTAAGCTGTATTTTCCTCCGTTAGCCTCACTGATTAGTGGAGTTCTTATGACTACACAGCTGTTTAGTTATAATCTCTTCATATTGTCTGTGTGGACATTCTCTTTCTTTCACAATCAGTCCTACTGTTGTCTTTCTACAGTTTTATTTCACCAAGCTTACCGTTGTTCAAGATTTGTTTCCAACCACAGTCCTTCCTTGAATGTGTTCCAGTTCTTCCTGTCCTTCCAATTTTTAATAATGCTTTGCACAGTTCTTCACCTGATTTTAGTAGCTGAATCAAACTCCTTAGATGTTTTCTCTGATTGATGCCAGTAATTTGACCCTTCTGAAACAGATTAACATGTGTCCATGACCACAGGATGTGTCTTTAGACATGGTTGTTTAACAAATAAGAAGCTATTTACTGCATCAGAATAACTTGTTATCAGCTGAAACATATTCATCCATGCAGTTATTATTCAATGGGAGGCTCTTACCTGTTTGCTCAGTTAAATCCAGGTGGTGGTCTTTTTTTGGCCATGACCTTAAAGTGAGGGGTGTAATGCAAAACCAATGTTTTGAGCTTTTTTTTTATCATGTTATAATGTCTTTCCCTCATCAAAACATACCCAAAGTGTTGCTTTGATTCATTGCTGCACTTAGAGCTGGGCGATATGATTAAAATTCATATCACGGTATTTTGAACATTTTCACAGGTTTCACGGTATTTGATGGTATTTTTCTTTTCATCACAGCTCAGCTGATAAAAAAAGTACAAACCCTGCTTATTGACTTTTTCTTTTACTGTACCTCTGTCTGTGTTGCTGTTTCCCTCCTCTGTGTCTGTTCTTCTCTGACTGGTGGTTGGAGACAGTAGTCATGCATTTTGGTCCAGTCGTGAAGGAGGAGGGTTAAGAAAAGATTATGATCGGGTTTATTGTTTTATATTATTTATTAAAGCTTATCAACACGACTCACCTTGCACACCAGTCAATTCCAACTCCACTTTGAACTACTTCCTGCAGCTTTTCACAATAGAACCATGTTAAGTCTCCATCAGCATAACGTCTCCATATTAACTAACCACGTTAAATCTAACTGCACGTCACTGAAGAGGTGTTTACTACATTCAGCGATGGCGAAAACGGGATGTTTTTTTAAACGTCAGTCAATATAATCAGCGGAATCGCCACCCRCGGCTGCAACTAGCTGCTCCAAACATTAGCATGCTAACGCACATAGYGGTGCAGCAAGGAAAAATGTCCCCCGGGAAACAACAGTTCACTGGCGGCCACGACGAAACGTTCCGCTATTTAAACCGGAATGTCCGGTATTCAAAAAATTCATATCATAACAAAAATAAAAACCGGTATACAGTAAAAAACGGTATACCGCCCAGCACTAGCTGCACTCGCTTCGTGTTTGAGAAATCCTTGAATCTCTTGTGGTAGCCATGTGGAGCTGCCTAAACGCTTGCTGGTACAAAGCACCGCCTATTTATAAAAAAGCTCCTCCAGTCTGCAGCTGAGCTCCTGCCCCACATAGCACCCCTAAAGACATGCTGAAGTGGGAGTGTCAGAAATGGTAGGATGTTCCTAAAGAGACAGAGGACATTTTCAAAGCATTTAGATAGACTATGATGCAAATTCAAATTTATTTTTGATATATACAGCATTTTCATAAGGTAATGTAGTTACTTGATTGTGATATAGAAATGAAGTATGAGCCTAGAAAATACAACCCCCACCCCCCTTAATGATGGGGCTGGGGGTTCTTTTGGGAGGGAGGCCGGACTACCTTTCTTGGATAATGGTAGGGGAAACACGAAGAATAAGTTCCTGTTGATGATTCAGTTAGAGATTTATTTATTTATTTATTTATTTATTTATTTATTTATTTATTTATTTATTTATTTATTTATTTGTCTCTCTGTTGAAAACAGTAGGTGCATATTCTACAGCTCTTTATCAATTAGGGTCAGATTCTGTAGCTAATCCCACTTCGTGTTTCTCCTCGCAGGTATTTTCAGCCAGTCCAGCTTTTTGTTGGGATGACAGTGGTCACCTTGTTGTTCCTGGGATTTGTCTGGGCTGCAGAGAACCAAGCTCCCATCCGCCGGTTCCGGAGAAATCATCCATCCTTAAGTGTGCTGGCCATTCTGTTGACGAGCTGTCTGTTGATATCAGTGCTGGGAGGAGTTGGAGTGTTCTTGTTTGGGATAGCATTCCCTATACTGAGTAAGACATGAACACACACGCACGCACGCACACATCTGCATTTACAGCATACAGAAACTCCATAGTAAAAAAAAAAAGTAATTTTGATTGTTATAAAAAGTCAAAACAAGTTTATAACATTATATTTAAGTGACATTATGATTTCCACTTTGTAAGTCTTTGTGTTTTTTTATGCAACCTTATATGATGATACCTTATAGGTATGATACGGTTGTCACTATCAACTACTTTGACTTTAATGAATCTATTGACTGGCATATCAGTTAATGTAAATGAAATATATTTTTCAAAAAACTTATTCAGTTTGTCTTAGATTGAACAGTCCACTGAATACAAAATTGAGAAGACTCAAAACAAATATTTTCACTGCTTTGTACTTTTTGTTTATCTTCTAGTATCTTATTAAAACTTCGCTGATGCTGCTTTAGTAACCACTGGGACACCAGTTAATTATTTTCTACTGCAGTTTCTATAAGAGTCCTCAGCGTATTCACAATTGCTGTTTGGTTTTCAGTAGTTTTTGTTTTGAACCAAGATTGTTTGCCTGAACCACTCATCTTTTACCTAGATCTTTACTTTGGAGCTTTACATCACAGATCAGCGTATGATGGTTATTCAAAGTAATGTTCCCCATCATGAAGTGAAGACGGGAACTGGAAATACCCTCCATCTGTCCACATGTCTGTCCGTCCATCTTGTGAGCTGGATAACTTGAAAAATAAGTGAGATACTGGCTTTCATTTTGGTGTGGCTGCATCTAGATGTGAGAAAGGTTCCTATCAAAAACTGTGTTGCCACTTCAAAATCCAAGATGTCCGCCACCGTACGTACATGTAAATTGGCCACCCCGATTATTCAAGGAAACWATGTCTTCTCGTTTTTGTGTTTTAAAACTCTCCTCTCAAAAMCTACAAACATTTACTATTCAAATCTGTCAGTGATGTACGGTTTGTTTAACTAGTAAATAGTTGATAAACTTACCWCTAGAGGGATCCTGAGTACCACTAGTGGTACTTGAATAACATTTTGAGATCCGTGGGTCCAGATTTTATCAGTTATGTTGTTTGGGAATTTTTTTAAATTCAAATATTGTTTTTAGTAATTTTTTTCCTAAACTTCTAATGCTTCCTTTTTGAAAGCACTGGTGTTGTATAAAACTGAGCACATCAGCTGCTCATTTACAAAGCAGGCAGTTTAGGGTTGGACATCAGGACGTTATGAAACTTTTCCGGTCTTATCAGGTTCTAAATCTATTCAAATCAAGTCTCGAGTGTTAAAAACATCTGATCATCCGAGTGYTGCTGATCAGATGTATTGATGAACAGATCATCAACAGGAGCTTTGACAGTTTGCTGCTCTGGAGCATACAGGTGTGTGTTACAGGTGACGCAACACCAAGGTGGAAGACCTGCAACTTCAGAGAAGCAACTGTTGCTGCTCACCAATCTGGGAAGGGTCAATAATTTCCAAACAATTCTGAGTCAGTACAGGATTAACGAGTAGAAAACATTTTAAACAGCAGCCAAATCTCCCAGGAAGTGGATATTTCAGCAAATTAACCCCGAGGTCAGACCATGCAGTGCTCAGAGAAAAAAACAACAAAATAATGTTAGATTTAATTAGAACATAGTAAAAACAAATCTTTTTTTATTAATATTATAGGGTCATTCCATGTCAAGTCACCCAAAAATATAAGAAATCTTTACTCAACCGTCTCAGATTTTGATGAAAATTGGCTTATTTGTCAATTGTGATCCCACAGCACAATATATCAAATTTTAGGACAATCGGACCAGTGGTTCCAGACATATGTGATCTCATCCACAAGGTTAGCTTCAAGGTTGTAGGACGATTACATACTCAAATCAAAAATGTAAAGGCAGATTTGGAATCTTCTTCAAATTGAAAGAATGTGGATTTTCTTTTCTTTTTTTTTTTTTTGATGACTGTTTTTAATATTAGTTACAGTCTAATGAAATAATCAACATGCTTCTTTGGTAAAACCATATCCTTTCATCCTACCTACATCTAAACGAAAAAAAAATTGCCCTGAAATTAAAGAATTAATAAAAGTAAATAAAACCAAAAGGATTTTTAAATTATTGTAAGTCTGCAAATTGTATATTCAATGAGAAGAGAGTCTGATGAGTGCTGAATAGCTTGAATTAAAAATGAAATGAACTGAGTTGTTAAAAGCAAAACATGCAAAGCAGGAGCAAATATAAATAGCTAAAATGTGCAAAACTATAGCTAAGAGTTAAAGATAGTAGCTAAAAAAATAAAGCAGCAAAACTTTAAATAAAAGCAGCTGAAAGCTAAAAGTAGCAGAACAACAGCCAAAATCTAAAAACAGAATCAAAATACAAAAATAAACCATGCATGCTGAAGCAAATTTCAATGAGAACTACATTCTTGAAATAATTGAAAATGTATTTTTATGGGGAATTTTGTTTTAAATAAAGCCCAATATTTTAAAGTATTAAAATGACAAAAAAAAAGTCACTGCACACTATTCCTGATCGAGCTGAACATTTTGATTACATAAATGGATAATGTAGAACAAAGTATCTAGAGGTAGTTTGGTTGCAAAAACAAACAAAGTAGGAAAACATGAGTGTGAGTGCTGACTCAGCGTTCACACAGTWRGCTTAGAACACAGGAAGTCTTCATCCCTCTGCTGGTTCTCTTCCACAGTGGTTGTGGTCCATGCGTCCGTGAGGCTGCGCAACCTGAAGAACAAACTGGAGAACAAGCTTGAGAGCATCGGTCTGAAGAGAACACCCATGGGTCTCCTGTTGGAGGCCCTGGGACAGGAACAGGAGGCTGGATCCTAAAGGAGGATGAGGAAAAGATGGGGCAGGGCTCAAAGGAGCGAAGAAGACAACAAGGATGTAAGGGAGGGAGGAAAAAAAAAGAAGTCTTTGTTTACATTTTTATTCTAATCTGAAGGAAACAAGCTGGTTTTTACATGTTTATTACCATGTTTTAAATAGTTTTTCTGATTTGTTTCTTTATATCCCAGACATTGTGCATTTGATTAGATGGATGTAGTCCCATGAGCAGAAAGAAGGATTGATACGGTGGTTTTATTTCAGTGGATCATAGCTTCCTGAMTGTAAGTGTATTGGTGCTTTTCTTATGTTTTTGTACATGTATTCATTGGTCAAATCTTTTTACTCAAACTGACATCAAGCAACAAAAAACACACAAGCTTTAGTAAAGGAGTAAAGTTGTTTTGTTACAAGGACAGAGAAGCAGAGTAACAAGTCATGAAGTTTTTGTTATTAAGCTAAATTAATAAATTTTATGTTTAACTGTAGAAAAAGTAAAGATTTGGACCATCTGCAAACAAGTCCATGAGAAGATGATCCAGGGCACTAGATTTTATTGATCAGTTTTTGTCTTTAGTTTAAAAAAAATGCAGCACTGTCATTGTAACTAACACACATTTTCAGCTGCCGTCTCACTACATTGGTGACCAAATGACTTGTGTTCTGTATGGCTGAAGTTTGCACGACCATTTTTTTTTTTTTTTTTTATGCGCTATTTTTGTGTGCACAGTTCACAAAAACTGTATTCTAGGCTGTGACTCAGGTAAGTTTATGCCTGATAGAAACAGGGACCAGGCTATATTATTAAGTGACTTATCACCCTGTACTTACTGAGTACATATTAGGTATTTACTGGTTATGTACTGGGTACCTTCTTGGTACTTACCTGGTACTGATGGTATTGAGCTTTATTATGAAGTGACTTGTTACCTTGTACCAGGTACATACCTGACAGTTACCAGGTTCATACTTAACAGTTACATACCAAAATGTATTTTGTATTTCTCTGAAAAACTCAGATCAGAACCAGAAAATCAGAACCAGAAGTGTGATCATGTCTTAAGATCTCGTTCCTCGTGTTATAATGTAAATAACTTCACTGAAAGCTTTATATGAGCGATGTAGAACAACTTGTCTTTGAAGACCAATAAAGAAAACATTTTGTTGTTTGCTTAGAACACTATACAACAAGCACAGCCATAAGTTTTAATGCATATCTGCACAGTTAAAGTAAAACTGACAATGAACAGTTTCACTGAAGGAATGTTATTTTCTAAGTTGTGTTTTTATTATATTGCTCACACCTAACATCAGGAATCTGTTGTAAATTTCAGCAGCAACATCTGAACCTGATTTCTTCTCCTGCATCAAAGAAACAGGGTTTATTTTAAATTACATATTTTTACAGAATCTTAAATTTGGCTGCACTACTCAGTTTAGTATGTTTATTAGGATGCAGATGATATTTCAAATGTATTGTTAAAATTTATCTTTGTAAACTTTTTATTTACGGTTTTCTGTTACATGAGTATGTGTGTGTTATTCTGTAAACTAATGAAACTTTGATTCATCTGAACCTAAATGATTAATTTAAATATATAAATTTTTAATTGTCTGTACATTTTTGCAGATATTCACAGCTGCCTTTCTTTCATAAATGTTATACGTTTTTCAAACTACATGTTTTTGACTTTGCCAAATGCTGATAATTCACATTTTTCAATAAAAAAGTGCAACATTGCTGTGTGAAGGAGCTGTTTTTAGTAGCCCACAAAGGCCAAATAAAGAAAAATAAAAACTAAAATGGAAAAAGGATGAAGAAATGAAAATTAAGCATCAATCAAAGTAACTGCAGATGGATAAAGATCAGCAATATTTTAAAGATAGATATTTAACACTAAAGTTAAATTTATAAAWACAAACCAATGATTTATAGGAGGTACCAAACATCTCATTTTTGTTCTACTAAACCTTGCAACATATTCTTTGCAAAAGTATTAATCCCCCCTGATCGATCTGTTTTGTCATCTTACAACCAATTTGATGTTTTTATGACTGAAAGCAGTAGTTAAGACTAACAAAAGTAAAGAAAAACACTTGAAAAAAGTTTTCAAAATTATAAAACTGGATTGTATTCAAGTATTCCACATTATTTCTTAAAGGGATCTCCRATTAATCGCAACATTAGATTTTATTTAATAAACATATATTTTAACTGTAAAATAAAGACTGTAAAAATACTGTAGGATGTTTAGTTTTTTATAATTTTTAAACTAAATGTTTAAAAATATATTACACGGATGGGACCATTTTATTTACACAAAGCATTCTGGGTAAATGATGACGTGGGTAGGTCATCGGTGCGAGGCTGCTAGCGAGCTATATCCACCCTGAAAGTTAATTTTGGACAATATCTGATGATTGACTCTTTTAAATGAAACCAGAGAGCGTTGACAGAGAGGAGAAGGTAGAAATGACTCAGYCTGTAACTGAAAATATGGATGGAGGACCTCAGTTTAGCTTGTTTGTCGCACTAGCACCGAGCTAATACATATAATGGTGCGTTCACACCAAACGCTATTTCAGCATCAGGAGCATCAGGTTTACATACAAAGTCTATGGTGGACGCGCTTCAATCAGCATCGGGAAGTGCTGCGGCGCCTCAAGCGCGATTAGAGCAGCACGATTTGAATGATCTGAGCGTTCGACGTGCTTGACGCGCAAATCGCTGAAGTTAGAAAATCTGAACTTTTGCAGCTCAAMGCGCCGCGTCAACCAATCAGAGAGACCACTGTGTGACGTAGCGACATATTTCCCGACGGGACAGTTTACTGAATGATGTCCACTAACCTGAAACAGATGGAGAGGAGCTCTTTAGCTGAAATCGAGTGCCTGCAGTCGGTGTCCTGACAGGAGATATCCGCACCAATGCGTGGCAGCGACTCATCAGACTGGACTAGGGACAAAAATAGTCCTGAAAGCGAGCTGTGAGCCTCTCCCGCAGCTCCTGGGTGATGAAACTCAGAATGTCTCTGAATTATCTGGTGAATTAATTATCTGATGAACGTGACATGCTCTTGCTCTCTGTAAATAAAGCAAAGCACTTCTTCGTCCGGCATTAAACAGAGCCCGACAGAGGAGGGAGGGGCGGGGAGGCTCTCACCGTGCAGCGCTTCAAGAGCTGACCTGCGTCTGACCTCAAAGCTCAAAGTGCACAAGCGTCCAACTTGAAGCGTTGGATGCGATTTTGAAGCTGAAATCGCGTTCGGTGTGAACGCAGCATAAGGCAATATAGTGTCAGTGCTAGCACAATGGCTAACAGGCTTAGCTGAGGTTCTTCTTCCATGAAGCAGCTCTGTTGTCCTCCATCCATATTTTCAGTTACAAGCTGAGTCATTTCTACCTTCTCCTCTCTGTCAACGCTCTCTGGTTTCATTCAAAAGAGGCAAACATCAGATATTGTCCAAGATTAACCTTCAGGGTGGATATAGCTTGCTAGCAGCCTCGCACCAATGACCTATCCACGTCATTATTTACCCAGAATGCTTTGCATGTAAATAAAATGGTTCCGTCCGTGTTAAAATATATTTTTAAAAATGTACAAAACTAAACAGCCTACAGCACTTTTACAGTCTTTATTTTACAGTTAAAATATATGTTTATCAAATAAAGTAATGTTACAACTAATCGGGGATCCTTTTAAAAGCTCCGAATGCTAATTCAGAAGCCATCATGTGTTAAACAAGATCTAACAGTGAACCTTTAAAATCTCAAACGATTTGCACCTGTCCTAACARTAACTCTAAATAATACTGCCAAGCAAGAGACATCATGTGAACCAAGGAACTCTCCACAGATCAGAGATAAGCTGTGGAGAAGAACAAGTCAGAAAAACTATCCCAGAACCCTGAAAATCAAGTGAAGCTCAATTAATTCCAGTGTTGGGAAAAAAAAATGATGCCATCATCAGTCCAGTGACATAACAAAAAACAAACATTGCTGATGTAAAAAATCTAAACGGCTTGAAATTTCTGAGACCACAGTCAAACTTTTAGACCATCAAGGACAACAGCAGYCCCCTGTCATCACACCATCCCTACAGGGAAGCACGGCAGTGGCAGCATCATGATGTGGTGATGTTTTTCATCACCCGGGACTGCTGGTCTGAATAAAAGGAAAGATGGATGGAGCAAAAATTCAGAGGAATTCATGTCAGGAACCTGTTGGAGTTCTCTTTAGATTTCAGACTGGGACAGAGGTCAATAAGGGGAACGTCCCAGCAGGGGACAGAGGTCAATAAGGGGAACATCCCAGCAGGACAACGACCCTGAACACACTTCTGAAGCAACAGTGCACTTCAAATGTTAGATTTACTCATTTACACCACCTGGTTCCACCAAAAAGGGCTGATTAAATGTAAAGAGGAATAATTATCTGGAGCTTTGTCCTAASCCAATGCTTCACAGATGTCAATAGACAAATCTGGCCCCCAAAAAATGACATTTTAAATTTAGGAGTTTTATTGGTCTTCATTTTTGTCATCATGTGAAAGTCAAAATTCAGGTAAAAATAAGTTTTTGTTTTGTTTTTCTCTGTGGTCCTTTAATTCTCTTCCGTATACAGTATTTTGGTGAGGGTGTTTGTTTTTCAGACTTAGCACAAAAAGTAAGGAATAATGTGTTTGGTACAATGCTTCTTTGCAATAAATCCTATAACACTGAAAAGCCTGTTAATTTCCCTTTTAAATGGTGCCACATTTGTAAGAAACATCCATTTGTGGGATGAACAGTAGAGCTGAGATTGAGGCAGTTTTATGAATTGTGCACATAAAAAAATGTCAAATTCTCTCTATCATTGCTGATCATCTTATTCTGTCACTGACTCATTTGGTGTTTCGTGGACTGGATGATTGAAAATCGAAGAAAGAAGACATATTGACAATTTAACATTGTGTGTATTTAACGAACAGGAGCCTCAGTAGTGTGTGGAAGAACCATACACAGCCACAACTGCCCAGCTCCTCCTCCTCATCAGACTGGCCACACACTGTYGTGGGATGACATCCCTTTTTTTCAACCAGCTTTTGTCACAAGTCAAACAACGTGGTTGTGTTGGTCTCTCTGGTGTGAACAGCAGTTCCATTCTGATCCTACAAGTGTTTAATAGGATTGAGTTCAAGACTGCTGGAAGGTCATTCCATTCTCTCCACTCCCAAACTCTGGAGGTAGTCCACACTCTGTGAGGGCRTGCATAATTTCATCTCAATATCTCCCTGCCTTGAGATTGCCAATCTGGCTCATGATTGGCTGCACCTGACAAATGTTTCATGTGCACAGCCCACAAACTCAGCTCTACTGCTCATCCCGCATGTTTCTTACAAATAYGGCACCATTTAAAAGAGAAATTAACAGGCTTTCAAACAATATTGCCAAGAAGCATTGTTACAACAAATAGATAATCTACCAAACACAAACTTCCTTACTTTTTTGTCTTGTTTATCACTAAGAAATAATAAATGAAAAAAGTTGCTGACAAAAAGTAAGGCAAAGGTACTGTATGTATGTTCAACACTACATAAAATATAATTTGTAATGTAATTTGTATTTCTATAAGCATAATTTGTTATATTACATTTTAAACAAATATTTCATAAAATAAATATCGATTGTTTTGTCCTTTTGTAACTAAGAAGTATTTACTGAAGTCAGGTATTGTTTTAACACCTACAACAAAATCTACTAATTTTCAACCAGTAAAAATAAATCAAAAAAAGGAATCAGATCACGTGTAATCATATCCATGTTGTCACATGAGGAAAAACTTTATTTGTTTATTTATTTTTTTTATTTTTAGAAAGTCAGAAGGACTCACCGCCTCCCCTCCTGACAGCCAACTGTACCAACAGCTGATGTAACTTATTGACACACGATAAGCCCCGCCCACTGGGAGGAGCTGGAAGCGTCAGCAGCTTTAAAAAGCCTCCGCTTTCTAAGTTTAACTCCAACAGACAAACAGAGACAGAGAGCTGAAATCCGAGAGGAGACGAACACTGGCGAACTCCGCCGAACAACCAACACTCGGCTCTGGTAAGAAAATTATGTCTTGTGTTTATGTTGAAATATTTATTTTATGAAACATGACTGTGGATAAACGAGTTGTCATTTTCGCAGTAATTATTTGAGTCACACCGACCTGGACTGTTTTTTAAACTTACATTTAGTTTGAGTTTCTTCTAATGAAACCAAACCTTGTTTAAATTAGATTTTGAAACAGCCGAAGGCGAGGGGCGATAATATTTTTGCCCGCGCCTTTGTGCACGTGTGTTGTCTGTAGTGTTAGCAAAATATCTGACGAGCCACGGGGCGGGTTTTCATGGAGCTTTCAGGAAGTAATTCAACATCAACACACAAAATTGGATTATACTCTGTCCGTTTTACAGATATTTAGCTAAAAATTCTGGTGCAAGTGAAAGTAGTCTGTCGGTCCTGTGGTACCAGTTGGGTCAGCAGAACCAAACTGAGTCCTCCTGCCTGGTTRGTTTTGTTCTTGGACATTTACAGCTACTGTATACAGCCACTTCAAATGCTGGATGCCAGGAATAATCCACGCACAGCACTACTGATAGAGAGGGGTAGAGTACCCAAAGATGGTACTCAAGTAAAAAGAAGCAAAAATATTCTTACTCAAGAAAAATAGACGTCCAAGAAATCACTCAAGTCAGAGTAAAAATGTATTTTGTAAAAAGGCTATTTGAGTATAAAATAACTGATTATAAAATCGTATTTAATATTTTAAAATGACTCAAATAAAAAATATTACAAATAAATAACATAATTACGATATAATAAATTACAGCAGAAAAAAATTAACATTTTTCTAAGTCAAAATGTTCTCTAAATGAAACCTATGAAACTAATACTTACAGCAGGTAATATACTGTATATATATTACAGAAGAGGGTATGACTATATCTACTGTTTACTATATATTCTCTTAACCTCAAAATGTCTCAGTGAATAGAAAGAAGAGGTCTCACATCAACACAAACTGTAGGTGTGTCTCTGCTGCAGTACTGCTTGTTCTTCAGTCGGTGACATTACTTACTGTAGAGTATTCAAAAACCTTGCTCAAGTAAGGGTAGTGATACTTCATAATAATATTACTCAAGCAAAGTACAGTGTAGTAAAGCTACCCCTAAAAGTACATTGTTTTAAACACATCTTTTCAAAAATGAGCAGATTATCCTTTTTAATGATAATTTTCATTATTTTATTATTTTTAGGTATTTGGCCAGTGAAGAGACTCCTTTGCTGTGAAGAACACTGATCTTCTGATTCTGCATCACAATGGTGCAGCTGCAATAATGGGCTAAAACTAAACATGTTAAAAATCCATTTTTATTTATTTTTATATAAAAATAACAACATACCAATCTATGTAGTTGCATTTTGTTAACATCTTTCTTTCACACTGAACCATCATTGACCCCGCTGCCCAGCGGACCTTCTGAGGACTTGACGTCTCACATCAGGACAGGAAACACCAGAGTGGGTGGAGAGTGTTCTATCAGAACCCTCTGCGTTCTGAAACACCAAAGACCACCATGCTGTACATGAAGAAGTAYTTCACAGAAGGTCTTATTCAGGTGGCCATCCTGCTGAGCCTCTGTGGACTCCGGCTGGACGTGGGACTGGAGCCCTACCTGCCTCACTCCTGGCACAATATGATCTTGGGTTCGACCTCAGCACTGACCCAAAATCAGTTTCGCAACCGCCTGGAAGACGGTCACAGCCTGCACCCCAAGAGTGTGGACCTGGATCAGTTCTTCACTGTGAGGAGGCTGTTAGGCTGGGGCTGCTCTCAGGACAGACTGCAGGTAGGAGAATCAGTTCTAATGTKTTATTGTGTAATGTAGGGAAATACAACATTAGACTTAAACACACACAAAAAAAATCACTGATGATGAAGAAATTAAGAAACTAATATTAAGTTCTTTTTCTACTGAAGTGGTTAAAAAAAGACATAAACACACACACAAAAAAACTTTGGCATAAAGTTAAATTTTTTATCCAAGGGAGAGAGAAAAGAGAAATGTCTTACTTTGTAGGAAAAAAGGTAAATTAATTAAAAAAAATTATTTTCATTTTTATTGATCCATTGATGAAAAACCTGGGGTCTCATTTATAAAGGATTGCGTGGAAACCATACTAAAAGTGAACGTACGGCCAAAAGG